GCACAAGTAAATCCTGCTTGTGATCCTGCTTTTGCAGATGCTTCTCCTCTGATTTCTGTCAAACTTGTGGTTAATATGTGGTCGAAAATGGTCTAAATAAATTAGCAGCTCTTTTCAAAACACTGCCGACAATGTGAAATCTATCACAGCTGTCAACAAAGCGCCCACAGTTTGCAAAAAACATCCGTGATAAAGAGGAAAACAAATTAACAAACGAAGAAAACAAATGTTGATTCATGGAAAACCGAGAGAGGAAGTGTATGACACACGAAACCACCTCGAAATAGACAATCCCAAACTCTCCCTCATACGCTGAATTAATAAATAAACAGATATTAATATTGATGCCAGCTTCCAGTGGGAGATATTTGTCCTGGTTACTCTATATGAGCGTCTCCGTTCAGAGACGATCCCATCAAAGGTCTTTTCTGAATATAAAAAAATAATCCGCCAGCCGCAGTCGGGTGAATAATGTCGATACAACTGCTGTGAAGTCATCCAACAAAATGACTCATATTTAGCTGACAATTACAAATGATGATCATCAGAGTTGAACAACATCAACAACTGCAAGTGTGTAACGCATAATAAAGCTGCTTTCAGGATGAAGGAGGCTTAGACAATGATCACTTCTCTTTTCATTATCTCTGAAGCACATTCATACTTTCCTCCCTGAGATATTTCTCATCTCAGCATCGAAACGTAACCTTGAAGATGTTCAGTAGTTAGTAAGTAGTCGCTGGTTCGAGCCTCGGCTCAGTTGGCGTTTCTGTGTGGAGTTTGCATGTTCTCCCTGCGTTTGCGTGAGTTTACTCTGGGTGCTCCGGTTTCCCCCACAGTCCAAAGACATGCGGTACAGGTGAATTGGGCAGGCTAAATTGTCCGTAGTGTATGAGTGTGATGGGTTGTGGCCGGAAGGACATCCGCTGAGTAAAAAAGTGCTGGATAAGTTGGCGGTTCATTCTGCTGTGGCAACCCCAGATTAATAAAGGGACTAAGCTAACAAGAAAATGAATGAATGAATGAATGAATGAAATTATTTGACACTGAATGTCTTCAAAGTCATGTTTCAATGCTAAAATATTAAATATATTACGGAGGAAAGTAACAATTTTGTAAATTAACAGTTCAACTCCAGCTCATTCTGAAAACGTACGTTATATACATTTCTGGGACTGTTTCATAAAAGTGGTTTAGAAAATCGGGGATTAAAGTCAAAAACCCGACTTTAATGGGTCGAACTAAACGTCGACGCTTAAATTGGTTCCATAACAGCAAGTTGAAGATCATTTGATCTAACTACTCTGAGTTCAGTTTAAATAATCTAGATCAGTGGTTCTCAAACTTTTTTTTAATCAGGTACCACCTTAGAAAAAACGAATAGTCTCTCCAAGTACCACCATAATGACATTTACATTTAGTCATTTAGCACAGTGGTTCTCAAAGTGGGGGTCGGGACCCCCTGAGGGGTTGCGGGGCAATGAAGGGGGGTCGCCTGGTGATTTCCAAAAATCTATTTATTTTTATTAAACCATTAGAATTAACATATTTTATCCATAACTATACTTAAAATAAAAATAGTCGTTTATAGTTACTCTACACTATATAGTTAATATAGTAGCTTATAGTTACTAGTTCTATTGGATTGCGACCCCTGGGGTAATTACATTATATTAAAGGCAGCAATAGCGTCAGATGCATTTTGATTTTATAACATCAGGTCATACTTTCTGGCACATTTAAAGCACTGACACAAATTTAATTGGTGTGTCTGCGTCATTGATTGCAAGGTTTCTGTATTTATAACCACCTCAGAGGATATTGGGGGTCGCGAGTCACTGACATTGTTATTTTGGGGGTCGCGAGCTGAAAAGTTTGGGAACCCCTGATTTAGCAGACGCTTTTATCCAAAGCGACTTACAAATGAGGACAAGGAAGCAATTTACACAACTATAAGAGCAACAATGAATAAGTGCTGTAGGCAAGTTTCAGGTATGTAAAGAGTAAAAAGCAAAACATTAATAATGTAACTTTTTTTTTTCT